AATAAAATTAGATTTATTGATGTTGTGCATAATGTATAAGATTTTTTTGATTAAAAAATTAAAAATTCTAAGCAAGTATCACTTTTACTACTCATCTAAATTAAAAAAATAAATGTATTACTAATATTTTTTCAATTAGTAGCACGCAACGTTTTTTTCTTCAAACATTGTAATAAATGATAATTTAAAAAAAACAAGTCTAAAACAGATACGATACAACACAACGGCTTAAAAATTTACCAAAAATGAGTTTTGTCTTGAAATAAAAAAAATATATTTCTTGTTCTTGTTGGTCAAACTGGTAAAAACCAAATAAAACAGTATGAAGTTTAATTTTATTTATTTTTTTTAAAACAACGTTCAAGTTTTTCGACCCATATGCAAAAAAAAATTTCACAAAAAAATGCAATCAAAGCAGAAAAACACCCAATTTTGTGGTCAATTTTGGGTTCCTGTTGTGAACCATTTTTTATGATTAGTGACCAGAAAAAGTCTTGAGTCAATTGGGGCAAAAGTAGTTGATCCAGAAGTACCAATAATGGTCGATTTGAAAGAGAATAAAAAAGCGTTCAATTGCTTTATAAACACACTGGGTGAGAGATTGAAGAATGAGTTTTTCTTCATTGAGGAAAAGAGGAATTAGGAAAGTTGGTGTAATGAAGAAAAATAAGATTATGATAGTTGGAGGCATTGTTGGAGAATGGTGTGTGACAATTAATAGTCGATTTAGTCAAGTAGAGTGTTAAATAATATATGTTAATGAGCTTAAAAGTATAAATATTATTAATAATTGATGTTAAAATTGTGAAGATTGCAGTAATTTGACACACGCAACAGTGGTAATTTAGAAAAAAATAAAAAAGTCATATTTTTTTTTAAACATTAATTTCAATATCGCACCAAAAAACCTATTTTATCTATATTGCGACTAAAAGAAAGCTCATTTCGATACCAAAACCGATACTCTAATAAGCCATTTCAACACCGATTTGGGTGCTAAAATAAACTAGTAAAATTTACCTTCTAAAAGTTGGTAATAGTGATTTTCAGGGGCGTTTTGGGCGACTTTTTTTTCAGGTGGTGAAAACTACTTGGAATTTGATAGTATTTATGTCAAAATTTGCTGTTTTTTTTCTTATTTTTTGGTATATTTTTTTATTTTACAATTTTTCAGTACTTATTTGTTTTACTTAACATTTTATTCTTGATGTTGTATCCATATTTGTCAGGACGGTTTTTTAAACACAACTTTCTTTTTATTTGATTTATTTTGAGCTAAATACATAATTTTTTTAAATTTGAAAAGTACTGAAACTAGCAAAAATTTTTGTTTTATTTTTAATTCTTTTATTTTTAGCTTTTGTTCTCCATTTTATGTATTATTAT